TGCTGGTGCACATCGATATCCATGCTGGTAATCCACCATGAAGGTGGAAAAAAGGAAAAAAAAAAAAAAGGGGGGGGGGGGGGGGGGGGGGGTGTGTGGTGGGAGAGTTAATGGGATTGGGGGGGTCACTGGGGCATCCCTGGGCTTTCCTGGAGCACCCCTGGAGTTGGTCTTGAGGATCCTTGGGGTGTCTCTGGATGGGGGCAGGGATTCCAGGCAGGTCCCTAGGGATCCTGGGTGGGGGGATACTGGGATAGGAGCTGTGACCCCCCCTGGGGGGGACAGGAGCCCATGTCCTCGAAGCCCTGGAGGAGGAGCTCAAGGAAGGCTCTGTGGGGCTTATGCTGGTAGTTTTAAACCTTTCCTAGTTTTCCAGTTTCCCGGGAACTGGGAGGAGGAAAGAGGGAAGGGGGGAATCCTGGCCGGGGGGGGGCGATGCTGAGCCTGGCTCCGCTGCTGCTGCCACAGCGGCCACCAGAGGGCGCCCCTGCCCCGCTGGCTGCCGGTCCCCTCCCGTCCCATGGTCCCTGTCCCCTCCCAGGGTAGGGGTCTGTCCCCTCCCGTCCCATGGTCCCTGTCCCCTCCCAGGGTGGGGGATTGTCCCCTCCTGAGCCATGGTCCCTGTCCCTTCCCGCCCCGTGGTCCCTGTCCCCTCCCAAGGCACATGGTCTGTCCCCTCCCGTCCCATGGTCCCTGTCCCCTCCGAGAGCACCTGGTCTGTCCCCTTCTGAGCCATGCTCCCTGTCCCCTCCCAGGTAAGGGGTCTGTCCCTCCTCCGTGGTCCCTGTCCCCTCCCAGGGCACCTGGTCTGTCCCCTCCTGCCCCATGCTCTCTGTCCCCTCCTGTCCCGTGGTCCCTGTCCCCTCCTGCTCCATGGACTCTGTCCCCTCCCAGGGCAGAGCTCTGTCCCCTCCTTCCCAATGGGCCCTGTCCCCTCTCAGCCAAGGGGTTTGTCCCCTCCTGAGCCATGGTCCCTGTCACCTCCCAGGCAAGGGGTCTGTCCCTCCTCCGTGGTCCCTGTCCCCTCCCAAGGCACATGGCCCATGATCCCTGTCCCCTCCAAGGGCACCAGTGCTGTCCCTCTCCTGAGCCATGGTCCCTGTTTTCTCCCAGGGCAAGAGGTATGTCCCCTCCTGAGCCACGGTCCCTGTCCCCTCTGAGGGTAGGGGTCTGTCCCCTCCTGAGCCACGGTCCCTGTCCCCTCTGAGGGTAGGGGTCTGTCCCCTTCTGCTCCATGGTCCCTGTCCCCTCCCAAGGCACCTGGTCTGGCCCCTTCTGAGCCATGGTCTCTGTCCCCTCCTGCCCCGTGGTCCCTGTCCTCTCCTGCCCTATGCTCTCTGTCCCCTCCTGTCCTGTGGTCCCTGTCCCCTCCTGCTCCATGGTCTCTGTCCCCTGCCCCATGGAGTCTGTCCCCTCTCAGCCAAGGGGTTTGTCCCCTCCTGAGCCATTGTCCCTGTCCTCTCCCAGGGCAAGTGTTATGTCCCCTTCTGAGCCACAGTCCCTGTCCCTTCTGAGGGTAGGGGTCTGTCCCCTCCCAAGCCATGGTCTCTGTCCTCTTCCAGTGCAAGGGGTATGTCCCCTCCTTCCCCATGGTCCCCGTCCCCTCTCAAGGCACAGGGACTGTTCCCTCCTGCCCCGTGCTCCCTGTCCCCTCCTGTCCTGTGATCCCTGTCCCCTCCTGCTCCATGGACTCTGTCCCCTCCTTCCCAATGGGCCCTGTCCCCTCTCAGCCAAGGGGTCTGTCCCCTCCTGAGCCATGGTCCCTGTCCCCTCCAAGGGTAGGGGTCTGTCCTCTCCCAAGGCACAGGGACTGTCCCCTCCAGCCCCATGGTCTCTCTCTCTCCCCAAGCCCCATGCTCCCTGTCCCTTCCCAAGGCACAGGGACTGTCCCCTCCAGCCCCGTGGTCCCTGTCCCTTCCCAGGACAGGGATCTGTCCCCTCCTGGCCCAGCCACCCATCGCTTGTCCCAGCTGCCATCACCTACACGAAGAAGCCCACCCTGGATGATCACCCAACCAGCTCAGTGTGTGTCCTGGAGCAGCCCCACAACCCTGGGGACATGGTGGCACAGGGCCACCCCCCTACCCTGTCACTGTCCTGGGGGGGACCCGCTGCCTCCCCTCTGGCGTGGGAATGGGGGTCAATCTGGAGCCATTTGGCCACCGTGGTGCTCGTAAAGACAAAGATGTAGATCCAGGGGACACAGAGGGCCACGTGGTTGAGCTGGGTGGCCACCTGTGGGCCACCAGCTCCAGCTCCAAGAGGGGACAGCCACCCATCACACTCAGTGTCACCTCCGCACCCCCTTCTTTCCACCACCTCATGGGCTCCATCACCCTCTGCACCTCCAAGGGGTCCAACGCACACCCTCCACGGGGGCTCTGCCCTCCTCCCCCCTGCCCCGGCAGGTCTCCAAATTTTGGGGGCACCTCCCCGCTGACGTTGTCACCCCCACAGCGTGAAGGAAACCTGACGGTTTGTCCCCCATGCCCCCCCCCCAACCTTCCACCAGCCCCCAAAAACGTTGCTCGTAGAGGAACCGCTGGTGGCTGCGGTGGGCACAGGAAACCAGGCGGTTGAGGGGGGCTCTGATGGAAACTTGGGGGGGTGAAGGGAGGGGGGGGAGGACAGGAAACAGGTCGAGGCAGGTTGGGGGGGTGTTACTCAGGAGCTCTCAGCATCACTTTTTCCTCCCACCAACCGAAACAACAGCGGGGAGGGCCTTCTGACGTGGATGGGCTGGTCCTTGGGGAGCAGAGTGGGTGTCACGGGGGTGGCAGGAGGCGGTTTTCCACCCCCCACCCCCACACC